ACTGAGATTTACTGCATTCATATTAAGTGGAATTATGTCAACATTTGGTCTATCAAGTTCAGTATTGTCTACTCAGACTGGCAGTGGCTCTCCAGGGTCTCAGGCTGAGTTCTTTCACATTATCTTACTACGTGATCCTTTTCACTAGACATGCCGAGAATTGAACCTGGGACTCTCTGCATGCTTTACCATGGTCCCCACCCCTTTCCAGATTTAAACAACTAAGGCCATGCTCTATTGTAAAGGCCCTTGACCTATTCAGTATTCTCTCTTGCAGTTCTCTCCCCAGCTCCAATAATATGCCTAACAGAAAGTCAGGCTGGTTCGAAAGCCAACAGCAATATCCCCTTAAGAATCTGGAACTGGAAATTCAGGGTTCCTGTGTTTCAAAAAACCAAAATTACAGCACTTTATCCCCACCTCACTCAATTATATGTCACATGTGACGCACTCTTAGAATCTCCACAAGGATGCTTCGGGGAAGTCAGCAAAGAGGAAATGGCTAATCTGTCAAGAATGAAGAGAAGCTCAAGTAACTTGCCTCAGGTTCCACCGTGAAAAAGGAAGGAAGAGCACACGGACGTCTCCATTTCAGAATTCCCATGCCAGCATTTGCCAAGGATTTGCATGTACCTGTTTCTGTACAGGACGTAGGCACCTGTTTATGTTATCAACGCTACAGCCACTGTGTGGAGCTTCCAGCAAGGAGGAACATGTCCTGTGTCCTTCGTATATCAGATGTGGCCTTTGTATATCAGATGTCATGGCTCTGTGTAGGAAAGCCCAGTTGCAAGGGAGCACTGTAGTGCAAGTAGAGCCTGATTACCCAACAAAGCATTTCTGCTTAAGAGACGTCTCCTTTTAAAAAGTATAATTCTTAAATTACGTCCTGTTAAGTCACGGGTCACTCTAGCCACAGCAAGCTAAATTGATTAAAACAGAACTCTGAATGGTAGGCAGGCATAGAGAGAGGGAAAGCCGGTGCTGCAGAACATCCAACCAACATTTTAAAAATGAAATCTCATGAAGCAGGGAAGCATTCTTGTCTGTAATTTGGATGAGTGTACAATTAGTCACAGGAGACATAACAGGGAGGAACTGCAGAGTATCTCAGGGACACGCTAACCCACCAAACAACACAGTCTGAAAACAGGAGCTCAAGCCAGAAGCAGGCCTAGAACAAGAGTCCAGAGCGCCATGAAGAAGAAGAGATTGGATTTATACCCCGCCCTTCACTACCCAAAGGTGTCTCAGAGCGGCTTACAAACTCCTTTCCCTTCCCCTCCCCCACAACAGACACCCTGTGTGGTAGGTGGGGCTGAGAGAGCTCTGACAGAAACGGCTCTTTTTCAAGAACAGCTCTTATCAGAACTACGGCTTGCCCAAGGTCATCCAGCCAGGTGCAAGTGGAGGAGTGGGGAATCAAACCCAGTTCTCCCAGATTAGAGTCCGCACACTTAACCACTGCACCAAACTGGCCCCATGACACCCAGGGATGCTGTCAATACAGGTCATAGGCTTTCCTATTGCATGGGGGAGCACATTAGGTTAGTTAAGATACCAAACATCATAAGGGAAAAATTGATTATGGAATATTTTCTTTCACAGTGATAAAAGACATGTTTATGACAAGGTGTTCATATGTTTATTTCTCCAATATTATTTCTAAAAACTATGCAACATGAAGATTTTTATGTAAGACTATGTAAAGTGTCAAATCATTGCAGCTTCTGTACACTGAGGACAAGCAAATGCTGGAATCAAATACTGAGGAAAATACTGCAAAAAAAAGGGCTTTACACAAGCCAGAGACATCAAGCCACTGGTGGACCTCCTGATGGCACAGGCCTTTGGCCTGATCCAACATTGGTGTCTCTTATGTTCTCTTATGTTAAGCCCTTTCCTTACTGGTTAACATCTAACTAGATGCCAGCTGGAAAAGGGGTTTGGGGAAAAAACCCGCAAGCAGCTCTCAAACAGGAAGCCCAACATCACACAAACATCCATTATTCTACTGAAAACAGCTATTTGTAATCATCTACAGGTGCATCTCCCTCTCTATGCTAAAATCTTTGGTGGTGGTGGAGGAAGAGGAGGAGGAGATTGGATTTACACCCCGCCCCACCCCGCCCTTCACTACCCGAAGGTGTCTCAGAGCGGCTTGCAAACTCCTATCCCTTCCCCTCCCCACAACAGACACCCTGTGAGGTAGGCGGGGCTGAGGAGAGCGCTTGACAGAAACCTCTCTTTTTCAAGAACAGCTCTTATCAGAACTACGGCTTGCCCAAGGTCATCCAGCCAGGTGTAAGTGGAGGAGTGGGGAATCAAACCCGGTTCTCCCAGATTAGAGTCTGTGCACTTAACCGCTACACCAAACTGGCTACACCAAACAAGCAACAAGCCAGTTCAGTTTTACACCAGAAGTTAACTATGTCAGTATTTGGACTGCATCTCCTTGGCTCCACTCACCCAGTGAGAGTTTCGAGCCAAGCTATTGGTTCCCAGCAGCGGATCAGCCTGTGGGGGGGGGGGGGACAGAGCCTGGGACATTGTCAACTGTGAGTGGCAAGAGCTCAAGGAGCTCCTTCCCTTCCAGAAAGAGGGAAGCCTGTTTTGTCCCCTTCTCCAGCTGTGGAGGATTCCAGCTGCCATTCCTAGAAAATGGGGAAGGGGTTCATCTTCACAGTAGCCAGATGTTACAAGAAGGGCTTGCCCTTTGCCCCCAGAATACCCACACAGATCCTAAGTACTGTCACATCAGCCATATCTACTGCCTGGTTTGCAAATGAGAGGTGGTTGCAGAAGTGTTCTATGCCATCCCTCATTTGTACGGGAGCACTGGAATGGGTTACTGGAGATATCTGGAGTGAGCAGAAGGGAAAGATGCAAACATGTCATTCCAGTTATCCTCAGGGGACATGAAGCCTGAAGATGAAGCTAGCCAAAACCAATTTGTTCAGCTTAGCAGAGTGAGATATATCTATGAGGGAGAATGAAAGGCATAACACTAACAAGGGGCCAGGGAGACTAGTTTGCCATTTATATAGGGCTGGAGAGCATCCAGTGAAATTGACAAGGAGAGTTCCCCATACATAATGCAAGCACGCATGCCTACAGCAAACAAGAGCTTAACTGGGTTCGGCAAACAGGAAGCACGCGAAAGGTTGATTCCCTGGCAAAGACGATCGGTTTGACTCAGTCCCCACCCTACCAGCCACAATTCCTTGAAATGACTTCTGACTATTTGGCACTTACAAAGAACTCTGTACTTCAGTAGGTACATCCACCAAGTTTCTCACCCTGCTCTGTGCACGTAGGTCAGATGACACAGCTCACCAACTGGTCAGAGTTTCAGTTCTCATTAAAGAGAAAAAGTGTCCATTGCTATGGCTGTCAAGAGGTCTATAAACGTGAACGCTCCAACACAATTCTGCATTTGCTCAAGAACCAGCTCTGTTTCTGGTAGCAGCCTTCGCAGGATAAACACAAGTGTTTATCTGATGAGGTAGAATATGCCTGAAGCGAACCCTCTCTCCAAGGCAGCAGAAGTCTGGCAGAGGGCCCTTGCAAATGAGCTACTCCCCATACAACAACTGGGGTAGCCACAGCCTGCAGAAGGACTATATCATATCAGACAGGGAACATTTATGTTCCACCCTGCACACAGGAGAGATATCATTTCTATTTACTATTGGTAAAGGGGCAAGGGACAGCCTGCAAGAGACTACAGCATAGATTTAGTACTGCAGGTTTGCAGCTGCAGCCTCTGTTCCCTGTACCATTCCCCTCCTTCCTTCTTCCGGGTAGAGAAAGCAACTGAGAACCCTTTGCCACTTGGCGAGGAATGCAACTGTTCCCAGCAGCCATTAAAGTGTGTTGCAATGGGGAGAAAAAACAGAAGAGCAATAAAACGGCTAGAGCCAAGGTCTTCACAAGGGCAAGAAGGCACACCACGGAGCCTAAAATACAAAACACACACAACAGGCTAGCTCTTACTTCTAAAGAAACAGAACAAGAATCACCCACACCACTAATCTGACCCACTAACGTTTCTCCTATGCGGTAAGAACAGAGGCACTGTCACGCTATACGGGAAAAGCCACACCCCAGTTGTACTTGGCTAACTCCCTGGCATACGAAGGAGAGCCGCTCATTTCTGGTTCACCAGCCAAACCAATAGCTGCAGCCTGCCCACATGACGGGTCAAGTTCAACCAAGCGAGTGGAAGTTTAATGAGGTCTAGGAGGAAGCTAAAGCGCTGGGATCCGGGGCGGCTGTTTCCACACGAGGTAGAAAGGAGCTGCCGGTCAAAGAACCCGAAGCAGAGAGCCAGCAAATCTGTTTCTCCTCTTCCATCATTCTCTGAGTAACACATGCTCTCAACCAATGTTCCCTCTAAGCTGTGGAGTCTTGTGAGCAAAAATCTTACTTTGTGAGCTACTGGCATTAAAAGTTGTGAGCGAGCAATGTGGCTACTGCATCAATTAGTTTGCTCTAGAGCCCTCCTTCCTGAGCGAAGACAAAAATGTGTGAGCTGGAGGCTAAAAAACTGTGAGCCAGCTCACACTAACTCAGCTTAGAGGGAACCCAATGCTCTCAACCCAATGCTGATGCAACAGCATGAGCCCCCCCCCCCGGATGCGTGTATGGACGCCAGGAACACCAAACGCGGCATCATTTCCCGAGCAGGACTGGCGGGGTGAAAGGGGGCGCCCACATGTCGGTGGAATAACTAGCCTCGCGCTGGTGGGAGGGAGAAACCAGACGCACTTGCAACCCAGAAAAAGCCACCCAGCCCACCGCGTTCATCGACAGCACAGAAAAGCATCCAGACCTGCAAAGGGTTAACCAGCCGAGCCACAGCCCCAACAAGTGCCCCGGAAGGCGGGGACCGCGACGCGACCCTCCGAAAGGCACCCTGCCGCGCTTGGAGGCCTGCCAGAGCACCCCCGGGCCCCCTCCTAGGCAGAGCCCCACCCCGGCCACTCTCTCTCTCTCACCAGGCTTCCTACGGACTTCACCATCTTTGCAGCCGCCCCGCGTTCTCTCGTGTCACTCACGCCCGGATCTTCCACCGCGATGGCTGCTAAAGCGCTCTGATTAGCACCGCCTTCCTCCATCATTTTATGCGATGGAGAAGCACCCGCCCAGGAGGATGCTCCGCGCAGGCGTCCTACAGGCCGGCGGAGGCCATCAGTAGGGCGCGTGCGCAGACGTTCTTCCCCACCTCCCTGCTTCCTCTGAATTCGTAAGAAAAGGCTGGGGGTTCCCGGGCCGGCCTTCCCCCGGAATATTGCTAAGAGATGAGTCAATGGAAATATTTTTAAGGCACGTATCGACTCAGCAGAGAGAGCTTCTACACATGCAGCTGTGGTTGCCAAAAGGCGTGCAGAAAAACTTGAATAAGGAGCTTAATGGGTTGTTGAAGCTTGAACTAATATCCCGCTGGGCCCCTGTTGAGGGGACAGAACTTTTTCCCCCCTCATCGAGGCAGTTTAGCAAGCACACTTATATCCCGAGCTTCAGGTAGTTTACTCGGAACTAAGACCCTTTGGTTTGAATGGAAATTATTTCCAGGTCAGACTGCCGTCCTACCTGCATTTATCAGGGAGGACTAAGAGAGCAATCCTAAACAATGTTCCCTCTAAGCTGTGGAGTCTCGTGAGCAAAAAGTCTACTTTGTGAGCTACTGGCATTAAAGCTATGAGTGAGCGATTTGGCTACTGCAGAAATTCGTTTGCTCTGGAGGTGTCCTTCCTGAGTTAAGACAAAAAAATCTGTGAGCCGGAGGCTAAACAACTGTGAGCTACCTCACACTAACTCAGCTTAGAGGGAACACTGATCCCAAACGGGTCTACTCTGAAGTACCTCCCACTTTATTCGATGGGACTTATTCCCAGGAAAGTGTTTTTAAGATTGCACTGTAAATAGTGCAGTGGTGCTTGGAAGTTTTTTTTTTTTAAATCCCAGTGTCAATTTTTGTAAATTACAACCCACTTCTTCAATGTTGAGACTGAATCCTCCCTATGTAGTTATGCCAGTGCAGTGTAGTGACCGAAGTGTTGCAGTGGGACCTGCAAGATTTACAATGCAAACCTGAAGAGAGTTCAGCTCTTCTAAATCCACTTAAATCAATGAGCCTAAGCAATCTGCATGGAGTTGTACTCTGTGCAAATTCCCACTCGCCATGAAACTCACTGCTTGACTTTGGACCGCGCACACTACCAGGGTAGCCTTTTTCTTAGCCTTTAAAGTGCCGCTAGGCTATTTATTTTCATTACAGTTCTGCGACTACCCCTTAGGAATTAGTAGGGAGAAAGAGTAATTCTGAGAGGAAGTAGGTCTACTCAGAAGTAATTCTTATTTTATTCAGGGCTGGTATTCCCAGGAAAGTATCACAGGTTGCAGCCAAATGTTCTTTTAATTAAGTTGGGCTTCCTTTTGAGTAAAATATGCTTAGGATGGGGCTGCACATATTTTTAATTGTACCTTTTGCCTAATTTGCACTTGGATTCTCTGTGGGTCTCACCTTGGGGAAATTTCCAGCCTTCAAATGATACTTCTAATTCCCTCATCCTCTATTTTTGTAGATACAATATGGCGTATCTCAATAGGATTTGTTTCCCATTTACGTGTCTGGCCACTTTTTGTTTCCTGAACTGCTTCAAACCTTGTAAGAGTTGTATGACAGCTAGAAATTCAACAGCTGAAACATACTCTGTTCCTTGCATTTCGTCGTTGCAAAAGCTGTACCCTGTTGACTTCCTGCTTGTTGATGGCAGAGAACCGTGAGGGGTGTGAGGAGACGATGAGCCAAGAGTTCCTTCTGGCGCTGCAGCACCCTCCACAGTTCTGCTCCCCTGGAAAAGTCAATATCAGCAGAGCAAGTGGGAGGGAACAGTGTCAGTCACTGCCCTTTAACACTGTTCAGCTCTCCTTCCTGACTGGTGGAGCAGTTCACATCCTGAGCAGAATGTAACTGCGGTAATCTTAAAATGGGCAATGGGCAGTGCAATACCTAGTGCAGCTCTCTGTGTTAATGAGCAGCCGCTCATGAGCACAGCTTAGAGCAGTGGTGGTGAACCTATAGCACGGGTGCCAGAGGTGACACTCAGAGCCCTCTCTAAGCACGCGTGCCATCGCCCCAGCCAGGCCCAGACCATCATTAAAGTGTCGAATTCTCTGCCAAATAATTTTAAGTAAATGAAAGCATTTGGGATTGCTTTCCTTACTTTGTTTGGATCATCTTAAGTTAATGTGTGAGTTGTTTTTTCTAAAGTAAAACCTCAGTATTCAGGTTAAATTGCCGTGTTGGCACTTTGCGATAAATAAGTGGGGTTTGGGTCGCAGTTTGGGCACTCAGTCTCTAAAAGGTTCGCCATCACTGGCTTAGAGGGATCACGGGACCAAGCTTGCCTCATCAGAGGTGTGATTGTGCTTCCCAATTCTTTCCCCTTGCCAGCTAGATGGGAGCCACCTCATGGGGATGAGGGGAAGTCAGGCCTCCCCGCCGACTCCATGCTTGTCCCACAAGTCCATACTCTCTTGAGGAGCCAATAATGGGGAGTGGATCCTCATCTCCCTAGTGCTTCTTCAGTAAGTCCAGGAGGTGAACTCGGAACATGGGGAAGTGATCCTTCAATAGGGGAATTTTGTACATTTTGATCTTTAGTGGGTACAGCCCTGGTTCCAGAAAAGTTAAAAAGTAGATTGTGCTAGCAGGTAATGTGGGGATCCTCTTATTTGTTTTTCTGCTCATGTCAAAACGGGCGGACTGTTTTGCCTGTCATTAATTTTGTTGACATTGATTTGCTTAAAACTACAGTTTATTATTAAACAAAGCTAATTTTATAAAAATGCAAATACATCTCAGTTGCAACAAATCTGAACAAAGAAAAACTCTAGCAAGGGGGGGGGGACTTCTATAAGGTAGATCCAGAGAAGTTAGCTGTGTTAGTCTGTTGCTGCAAAATAGTAAAAAGCCCAGTAGCACCTTTAAGACTAACAAACTTTATTATGCTTAAAAGCTTATGCTACAAAGTTTGTTAGTCATAAAGGTGCTGCTGGGCTTTTTACTATTTTATAATAGTCATCATGAAAAGGTACTACAACTGATCACAGATATGTGTAATTTCCCCCCTGCCAACTAAAACAGCAAATAACACCACCTCATATGTTACTTAGCACTCCCAAGTAGATTTACTCAGAAGTAAGTTCTATTCAGTGGGGCTTACTCCCAGGAAATTGTTCTTAGGATTGCAGCCATAGGAATCTAAATAAGTTTGGGACTACAAATCCCTGCTAGGGTCTGTAAAACTATGAAAATACAAAGTCTAACAGGATTCTATCTGTAGATCCCTTTTCATATGTTATGTTTGGGGTATCCACACGTGTGTAAGAAACAGGCCTCGGTTCCTGCCGGAGCACACCGGAGCACCGCTCCGCCAGTCAGGAGGCCAGAGGGCGGGCACATAAGCCCCGCCCCCTGCTCCCACCAGCCATCAGTTGGGCAATCGCGGGG